GCGGATGTGGAAGCAAACCAGGATGGCTCCCTCCAGGTCCCCGCAGCACCGACCCCACAACCACTCTACGAATTTGGATTCTTGACAATGTGCTTCATGAAAGGAAACTGAGACTCAAGATGTTGTACGTTGAGGGTAAAGGTCACACACCTAATGGACAATGGAGGACGATTAAAATAAGAATCAGCCCAGCTGGCATGGCTCAGTGTTTGCATATCGTTCTGTGAACCAGGAGGTTGAGGTTGGATTCTTCCTGAGGGCACAGGCCCGAGTTGCTGGGCTCAATCCTCCGTGTGCGGCATGCAGGAAGCAGCCGGTCAGTTGTTCTTTCTCATCATGGATGTTTATATCTCTCTCTACCTCTCCCTTTCTCTGTGTAATCAATAAAAATATATATTGAAAATAAAAATAAATAAGAATTCGATTTGTTCCCCAAATCACAACAATAACACACTTATTGTCACTGACTGTGAAGACAGGGGCCCGGGACGAGGAGCAGCGATCTTCCTGAGGAACAAGGAACTGAGGGTCGGGGGGACTCAGAGGCGAGTTCCCACCCTGCTGGGGAGGATGCTGTTGCAAGAAAGGGGAGGTGACTGGGGGCTGGGATAGGAAGAGAAATACACTCTGGGGCCAGAGGAGAAGACCTGTTTCCTTCCCTTATTTCCCTGCATTTCCCTCTGTGCTCATTGTCACAGGGACATTGCCCTGAGCTGCACAGATGGAGTGTGGCATGTCCCTGATGATCTGAGCTCTGCAGGACACAGAGACCCACATCTTTCTGAAGCGTCTCCAGAGCCCAGGTGGCACTGTCCATGGTGAGGACCCCAGGGAGGTGCTGATGGATGGGCTGAGGAGGAAGGAGACCCCGTGGGGGAGGCTCTGACAGGGAAGGACATGCCCTGGGTCACCTCACCTGCAAGGGGCCTCTCAGGAGGCTCCGGGTCTATTTCCTGCTTCACCACGGAAATGAGAGCCAGGCTACTACAGAGAGGCTGTTCCCTCCCCTATAGGCTGCTGACATAACAACCCTGTGATAGGGAGGATTAGCCTCCAAGTGACCACCACCCGTGCATCTCTCTGTCCATCCTGCTGGCTCCGTGGCCTCCTCCATCTGCTCAGCTGAAGCCACAGGGAGAAGACACTATGACCTCCACCCTCACAGCCCTGCTCTGCCTCGGTGAGATGGGAGGCAGAAGGGGAGAGGGGAGCCCTGGTCTGTCAGGACCCCAGGACTCAGGGGGCTCATGGGGAGGAGGGTGCTGCTCAGGGTTCAGGGCAAATCTCTCACAGGGACTCTCTTCCAGGGCTGAGTGTGGGCCTCAGGACCCCAGTGCAGGCAGGTAAGTCTGTCCCCAAGTGTCTCAGGTCCCGCTCATCCAGGGCCACCCTCCAGGCAGATTGGGAAGGAGTGCAGATCTGTCTGATCTAATGGGGGCATCTGGGACTGAGAGCTAGGACCAGGGGTGGGAATGTTCTGTGACCCAGCCTCTGATTCCTTCCAGGAACCCTGTTCAAGCCCACCCTCTGGGCTGAGCCAGGCCCTGTGATCCCCTGGGGGAGCCCCGTGAACATCTCCTGTCATGGGGCCCCAGGGGCCCAGGAGTATCGTCTGGAGAAAGAGGGAAGCCCATCATCATGGAAAATACAGAAGCCACAGGAGCCCGGGGACAGGGCCGAGGTCTTTATCACACACATGACAGAGCATGATGCAGGGAGATATCAGTGTTACTACCTCAGCTCCAAAAACTGGTCAGAGCGCAGTGATCCCCTGGAGCTGGTGATGGTGAATGGTGAGAGGACACTCAGGGGTCCCAGCCTCTGGCTCTGCCCTCAGGAAGGAGGTCTGCACACAGGGTGTCTCCCTCTCACAGCCCAGCCCTGGGTGACATGCGGGAGGTGTGAGCCCCATTTAACACGCTGCCTCCTCCTCTCCTAGGATCCTACAGCAAACCCAGCCTCTCAGCCCTGCCCAGCCCTGTGGTGACCTCAGGAGGGAACGTGACCCTCCAGTGTGGCTCAGGGAAGGGATTTGACAGGTTCATTCTGACTAAGGAAGGAGATCACAGGCTCTCCTGGACCCTGGACTCACAGCCACAGCCCAGTGGGCAGGTCCAAGCCCTGTTCCCTGTGGGCCCCGTGACCCCCATTCACAGATGGACATTAAGATGCTACGGCTGCTACAGGAATATATCTCAGGTGTGCTCACCACTTAGTGACCCCCTGGAGCTCCTGGTCCCAGGTGAGTCCATTATTGTCCCATCCATGGATTGCGGCACCAGGTACATTATTGGCATCTTTGCTGTGAAGGGAGCCCCATGTGAGAGGGTGAGGGGAGCACAGAGGCTTCCAGGCCAGAGACATAGAGAGAGACAGTGAGACCTGGGTGCCGGGACAGGAGAAGGGGTTATGGGAGGAGCAGCCCTATAACTCATGTCTGTTTTCCCCAGGTGATTCTGGGAAGCCCTTTCTCCTGAGCCAGCAGGGCCCCATCGTAGCCTCTGGACAGAACCTGACCCTCCAGTGTCGCTCTGATGGCGGCTATGACAGATTCGCTCTGCACAAGGAGTGGGGACCGGACCTCCCCCAGAGCCTAGTCCTGCAACCCCAGGCTGGGCTCTCTCAGGCCCACTTTCCCCTGGACACTGTGAGCAGCTCCCACGGGGGCCGGTACAGATGCTACAGTGGATACAACCTCTCCTCTGAGTGGTCGGCCCCCAGTGACCCCCTGGACATCCTGGTGGCAGGTGAGGAGCCCGTGGGTTCAGTCAGGGACCAGACTCTGCACAGGCCCTGCTGGGGTCTAAGGTGGGGAGACCAGAATGAAAGTGCAGGTCCCAGGGAGGGTGAGAGACAAGATAGACAGGAGGGGCGGGGGGGGAGATGGAGAAACACAGAGAGACAGAGACAGAGAGGAGGGTCCTCAGAGAGAGGCCTGGTGACTCTCAGGGCAGAACAAGGTGGGCAGGCAGACCTCACCCTCCCTCCCTCTCTCTAGGACACCTGCCTGACAGACCCTCCCTCTCGGTGCAGCCAGGCCCCAGGGTGGCCTCAGGAGTGAACGTGACCCTGCTGTGTCAGTCACAGAGCCCGAGGGACACGTTCCTTCTGTCCAAGGAGGGGTCAGCCGATCCCCCCCTGCATCGGGGATCAAAGCACCGAGCTCGGCAGTACCAGGTGGAGTTCTCCATGAGCCCTGTGACCTCAGTCCATGGGGGCACCTACAGGTGCTACAGCTCAAACAGCTCCTCCCCCTTCCTGCTGTCACTGCCCAGTGAGCCCCTGCAGCTCCTGGTCTCAGGTGAGGGCCCATGACCTTGTCTGCTGTGCTGTCAGCTCAGGGTCCTGTCCCCAGAACAATCATGGGCTGAAAGGGAGGGAGGGACTGTAGGGATGGTCACCCAGAGGAGATCTGCTCTTCAGACACCCCCTATCCCCTCCCCACCCCTCCCCCTCACCTGGTCCAGAAGGTGCCAGGTGGGTGGTGGGAGGGACTTAGTGAGGACTCTGCCTGAGGTGGGCTTAAGGGTCAGCCCCAGACTCTCCCCCTCTTCTTGTCCTCCCCTGGGACCCAGCCCCCCTCCCACGGGATCCTCTTTGCTCAGAGGTAGAGAGCTACCCTGAGCAGTTCTGAGTCTAAGGACCTAACCCCGCCCTGCGCTAAGGGCAGGCAGTGTCCTAAGGCTGCTAGGAGCTGGGACAGATTTCAGGGAACCACAGGCCCCATGGGTTCTGGGGATCAGTCTTCCCAACCCAGGGAGTCCCGCCCACAGAAGGTGTCTCTGTGGGGAGGTGGCGTCTCTGTGGGGAGGTGGTGGGTGCCTCCATGGGGACAGGGCTGAGCCTTGTGGGAGTTCAGGCCTTTCTGAAGTCCCTCACTTGGGCACGCCCTTCCCCTGCCTGGGCTTCCGTGTCTGCACGTGTTAACAATGTGAATCAGGGCGCAAATCTTACATTACCTGTCAGTTCGGGCCTGACCTCCTGAGAGAGGGGCCTCACAGGGAAGACCCCCAGGAGCCTGTCCCCTCTGTCTCAGTGACGGTGACACTGTACAGGGAGGGACAGGCAGGAAAAGGGTCCGGTCTCCCAATCCTACCCCTCAGCTCATGCTCAGCTCAGAGGAGGGAACAGGGTGGATCAGCCCCGGTGCAGCTCCTGGCACTGCTGCTCCTGCTGTGGGGCTGGGCGGTCCCTTCTCTCCTCTGAGTGTCGGGTTCTGTCTGCTCATCCCTGGCCCCATCCTGCTCACAGGCTGCTGGGAGATGAGGTGACATAAGGGCCTCACTGAGCTCAGGAAGTCAGAGCCCCCAGCCCAGCCTGACCTTCCGACGGGGCGTCCGGGCCCTGTGGGTGGGGACCGATAAGCGAGAGACCCCTTTCCAGCCTTCACCCTGCCCCTCCTGTCCCTGCTATGCTGGGTGTGGGAAGGACCCTCAGCTCTAGATGAGATGTGGACAGGCCCCTGCAGAGGAGGAGCCCAGACAACAAAGCTGGTTTCCCTGTGGGGGGAGGGGAATGGAGGAGAGTGAGGGCAGCACAGGGAACCCACAGTCCTCATCCAGGAGGTTCATTCTTGTCCTAGCCCTGCCCCACCCAGGCTGGGTGACCTGGGGCACATGATTAACCTCTTTGAGCCTCAGTGAAGTGGGTGGTGGGGTCAGCAATCCCTGGTGCATGACTGCTGTGAGGTGAGAGGAGGTGAGTGACTGACCCCAGCATGTGCCTCACACACAGTAGGTGCTCATTAACTGGTATCTTTGTCCCATTCATGTCATGAGGGGGGGCCCCTGACCTTTCATGTCTGATTCATTTCCAGGAGACGTCCCCAAACCCTCTATCTGGACTGACCCAGGCCCCATCGTCACCAACAAGAGCTCTGTGACCATCTGGTGTCAGGGGTCCCTGCAGGCTAGTGCCTACATTCTATATAAAGAGAGGGGCTCTGAACCCTGGGATACCAGGATCCCACAGGACTCCAGCAACAAGGCCGGTTTCCTCATTGAAGCCACGACCCCATCCCACGCAGGGCTATATGAGTGTGCATATTACACCACTGAGGACATACTGTCACAGAGGAGTGACCCCCTGCTCCTGGTGGTGACAGGTAAGGGAGACACTGGGTCCACTCCCCACTGTGGGCTCCAGGTCAAAGGCAAATGGAATAAAGTGTGGCCTCAGGGGACCCCATCCCTCACAGAACACCCCTGGGGCATGAGGGTGAGGGTCCCTTTAACACAGACCCTTTCTCCTCCCTCAGGAGTGGGCGGTGCACCCTCCCTCTCAGCCCAGCCAAGCCCTGTGGTGGCCTCAGGAGGGAATGTGTCCCTCTCCTGTGGCTCTAACCTCACATCGGGCCCTTTCCATTTGCTGAAGGAGGGAGGGGCTGACCCGCCCCAACACATGGAAGCAGAATGGAGGATTCATGATGGGAGGTGGCAGGCCATCTTCCCTCTGGGCCCCGTGAGCCCCTCCCATGGGGGGACCTACAGATGCTATGGCTCTTCCAGCTCCTACCCCAACGTGTGGTCACAGCCCAGTGCCCCTCTGCACATCCAGGTCACAGGTGAGGGACAGACCCGGCTGCAAACGCATCTGTTTCCTGGGTCTAAAACGACTGTGCTGTGTGCCCATTGGAGCCCTGGGCTCATGGGGTCAGTCACTCTGACCTCTTAGGGACAGACCCACAGGCGGGAGGCTTAGGGAGGGACATGGGAGACCTCTCACTGCAGCCCAGTGGGCGATGTGGGGTGTCCCCTGGCTGCCACTGTCCCCTCCTCCCAGGTGTGCACAGGGAGCCCGCCCTCTCAGCCCAGCCAGGCTCGCTGGTGCTGCCTGGACACAACCTGACCCTCCAGTGCCACACGGAGGCCGGCTTTGACACATTCGCTCTGACCAAGGACGAGGGGATCACACACCCCCAGCGCCTCGATGGGCAGCACAGCCCCCACTTCCCCCTGGGCCACGTGAACTGCACCCACGGGGGCCGGTACCGATGCTACAGTGGACACCACCTCTCCTCTGTGTGGTCGGCCCCCAGCGCCCCCCTGGACATCCTGGTGGCAGGTGAGGAGCCAGCCCTGCCCCTGTCCTGAGGGTCTGTTCAGGGCTCTGGGCCCAGGGTCACCCGGGGGTGATGGGGTACAAGGGAGGGGCCTGGAGCACAGGCTGAGCTGGGCAGAGGTCTAGGGGAGGGAGGGAGAAAGGGGGTGAGGCCATGGAGATAAGACATCCCCCAGGGGGACTGAGAGGAGCTGGGAGGAAGTCACAGAGTCTCTGGAGAAGGACAAGGTCCCTCAGCTCAGGGTCAGGGGCGTGAGGGGAGGGGTGGCTGTCTACACATCACAACCTTCCTCTCCCCAGGAATGTACAGGAAACCCTCCCTCGCAGCGCAGCCGGGACCCTCAGTGCCCAGGGGAGTGAACGTGAACGTGCAGTGTGGGTCTGAGATCTGGTTTGACACCTTCCACCTGCACAGGGAGGGGTCACTGGACCCTCCCCAGCACCTCCATCTGCAGGACACGTCTGCACCCTCTCAGGCCAACTTCACCTTCAATTCTGTGATCTCAGCACACCACA